TTTGGCTACAGCTACTAAACTAAAAGCTTGACCTGTGTGTTAACAGTTCACAGAAATTAATACTCATATTTAGCATTAAGTCGATCAAAAGTGACAGTAAAGACTTTTCCATTTAAAATAAATGCTGTTCTTTTGAGCTTTCTATTCATAAGGATTCCTGAAAAAATATATCACTCTTTCCACAAAAATATTAAGCAGCATAAAAATAACAAGAAGAATATATTGATAATAATTTCTTAAACATCAAATCATCATAATAGGTGATTTCTTCAGGATAATGTGACACTAAAGACTGCAGTAATGGCTGCTGTCAATCTAGCTTTGAAGGAATGAATTACATTTATATATATATATATATATATATATATTCACTATAAAACTGTATTTGGTGCATTTTTTATTAAATAAATGCAGCCTTGGTAACTACAAAAACATAAACAAAAATGTAACAATGTAAACTACAAACATAAACAATATTAATACTACAATACTAATAAATGTTGTAGTTTTATCACTTAATGCCATGTAAAAACTACTAAACGTCCATTAGTGAAATGATTTTCTTAACAAGTTTGCCTGTTGTTTTTACAATAAATAACAATTGCTTTGTTGTTTCAGGTTTTTTTTTTTTATGGTGCAAAGACAAAACTAAAAAGGTTGCAAAATACTTGAAATGAATATAAAAATTACAATCCCACAGTGTTTAGATATCAGAAACAGAGGCAACGATAAACAGAGAGGCTCAAATAACTGAGCAGAAATTTATTGGATATAGAACAAAACAAAAGACCAGAGACAGAGGGAGAGAGATAGAGAAAGAAAGAAAGAAAGAGAAAGAAAGAAAGAAAGGGAGAGAGAGAAATTTCTTTATTTGAAAGTGAGCAGTTAAACTCGATCCTCTCAAGCTCACCAGCTCATCAAGAACACACATTAAATAACACTATATGTTGTTCAGTCAAAAGGCTATACGGAAAAAGGCAAAAATATCTTCCAAAAAATCCACAGTCTTTAGTAGAGGACAGTAGTTTGCAAACAGTGACAAAAATCTCCCAACTCCAATTTGACTAGAATGTGCACCAGTCTCCATCCTGTGCTGAAGAAAGTCCTTTATTAGTCCCCAAAAATGCTCTTTGCCTATTTTTTGCATACATTTTCTTTCTTTTTTGCACCAAAGAAGTTGAAGAATAAATTTGGCACATGGGATGCAATATTAAGGACTAAAACAGTCCAAAAGTGAGAAAGGAAGGGCTTTATAATGTAAGTGAAACTCGTGTACAAAAGGACATATTAAGAATCAGCAAACACAGCCGTGAAGCTGGAAAATGCAAAGTGTGATTAAAACATTTAAAGTGGAAGTGTGTAATTTCGATGTCATCAAACATTATTGCAATTGTTTTCAAACAGGTTTCCAAAACACTTCCCATCTGCCATTGGTCAGGCAAACAGAAAGCCCCGCCCCGAACTCAAACCACTGATTGTTAATCAAATTAACAAAGCTATAAATTGTTCAATCTATGAATGGTTTACTTAGTTGTCCCTGCATATTAAGCTACGAAAGGAGACACTATTTTATTACTCATATTCTTACACACTTCAACTTTAAAGAAAAAAAAAAATAGAACTAATAAATGTTTAAGGTGCTTTAAGATTGCTCTGCTGTCTGTGAAATTCGTAGACACACTTTTCCTTATACTGAATATACATACTTGTAAAAGCCGTTGCAACACAAGCGTTATGCTTTCAGATGAGAACACAACAAGTGATACACTTAGTGCAGAAAATACTGATATACAAATCCTTCGAAAAACTAAACATAACATTTTGAACGTCAGACAAGCATACAAACATTCATCAAAGACCAACAGCTCTCTCTGTTGCGTTATATGATGCAATTTTAAAAGAGTGAATCTCATGAGAAACGTGGCAGATAAATGACATCATTTAAGTTTTATATCAGAGATCAAACTTTCAAAACAAACAAACAAAAAAAATCGAAATTATAACGTTTTAGATAAATTAGTTAATTTAGGTTAACAAATAAAAAATTGAAACATCATAGCAGGCTCACCTTGTTGTTGTAACATTGTTGCAATTCATTACTAAAACAAGCAATGATTTAATCTTGATTTACATGTGTTTTTTTTTTTTACTGTATTAACGTCAGGTGGTTCAATGACACCTGCTTTACAATTCTAAAATTCTAAAATCCGTTCATAAAATTCGCAAGTAAACATTCGAAAAAAGTTCACTAATCAAATATTTGTTACCAAATTCCATAAAAGCATCTTTACTTTCCAGAATGTCAATGCACTTTCTTTTATAGACAACTTATACAAATACCCACAATGCACTGATTATTATACAAACATTATCCTATATGAATGGTTGCCACTTCAACAATAGCAAAATTGCTCCATGACAGTTATTTTGTAATTCTGTATGGCAAAAGTATTGTTACCTATACATTTTTTTTTTTAAATACATCTGTTCTTATCACTTATTTATTTTGGCCACACACAAGGGGAATGAGCAATTTCATAACTGTCCATGATTTCACCTTTAGCTCATTTTAATAAAACTATCCAGCCTCATCTATAACCAGTGGTCTCTATTGCTATTAACTTTGTACTATTTAATACACAATACTCACACACACATACACACACTCAGTTGAACACTGATGCCTGAGGTTTCCATGTGTCTATCATTTATACTGATCTACTGCCTGAATCCTCACCATACTAACACTGAGCTAGTGCATCCTGGAAAATGACAAAATGTCAATATAACAGGAAAAACATTAATGAATGTGCTGTTGTCAGAATAGCAGATGAAGGAACAGCAAGGAGACTCTGTGATGGCACAAAAACAAAGAGCTCAAAGTGAAATAAACTTCAGTGGTTTGTCTGTGTGGACATGACAGAGCTAAAACGGTTGTGGTTGTGAACACACTCACACATATGGACACACACACTTTCTCAAAGGTGAAGTGCCTTGTTGGCCCTACACAGTAGGCACTGGAGTGGCCGTATTTGTGCCATTTTTTCCTTTTTGTTAAAGCGGTTTAACATAGTTTCCTGGGAACGTTCCAAATAACTTGGTTCTCCGAGAGGTACCTGAAAAAAAGAGACTATCAGCAAAGCATGATTACATTGTATAATGCATAAAACATGATAACATAATGTCCAATGTACATTATTATAATTACATGGCACTTTGGGATACTTGATTCTGATTGGTCAATCACATTATTGTATAGTTAAAGTTAAAATTAAAGAAAAAAACTAAATCAAATCATGCATTAATTTATTTGAAGTTTTTTTTTAAGAACACTTATATGCACTTGTATTACTTACTCACCAAAGCTGCATTTATTTGATCAAAAATACAATAAAATGAGTAATATTGTGAAAAATTACTATAATTCAAAATAGCTGTTATTTCTATTCAATTAGCCCTTTATTCTATTCCAATATATGTTAAAATGTCATTTATTCCTGTGATGGCAAAGCCGAAGTTTTAGAAGCCATTACTCCAGTCTTCATTGTCACATGATCCTTCTTCATACTAATATGTTGATTTGGTTCTCAAGTACTTATTATTATTATTATCAATGTTGACAACAGTTGTGCTGCTTAATACTTCAGTGGAAACCATGAAACATTTTTTTTTTTTAAATTTCAGGATTCTTTGATGAATAGAAAGTTATATGTTTTGTAACAATGTAAAAGTCTTTTTTTAAATCAGTTTTTACAGTTTTATCAATTTTATGCATCCTTGCTAAATAACAGCATTAATTTATAAAAAAAAAAATCTTACTGACCCCCAATATTTTAATGGTAGTGTACACATATTTCATTTATTAAGTCATATTGAGTAGTCTCATTAATAAAAAAGTATATATCATTTACAGAGGTGCTTTAATAACTACAAAATCTTACCCACAAACCAGCCATCATCACATTTCTCGATAACATCAATAACGTCCCCCTCCTTCAGCTCCAGCTCATCCCCATTACGAGACACATAGTTGTACACAGCTTGGAAGCTTAAGTGAAATTAAAATAATATACATTTTTAAATGTGCTGTTTATGTTCAGACAGTGAATAAACAAAATGAAAAGTGAAAAGTATCTGAAAAATTGAAAAGTGTACTTACGGGTCACCACCTGAATGCTGAGAATCCTGCATCATTTTCTGAGAGAAAGAGAGAGGAAAGTGTCAGTATGGTGTGCATATAAGACTTTAAGGTGTCAGAATATCATGCCAAATCCAGGCACAGGATGTCATTCTGTGAGTCTTCATCGTCATCACAGAGCTTAGAGGAGACCTGTTGTGTTACAATACACACAAAGAGGAAATCCACCCATGATGCGACCAGAGAACTATAAAAGGGATTAGAAAGGACTTCATTCCCCAGTCTGCACTGCTGCTAGTGTCACAGCACACTCCATCCTACCCTTCTTGCTCTACTGGGTGATAAACAGGGAGATAAACAGCGCCTCCTGGTGGAAATGGGGCTACGTGGCGGCTTACCCTCAACCACCACTTCCTGCCTATATACTGTCTGCAAGAATCAAATTCAAGGCAACCAATCAGAGATCAGCACGCTCATACAAAATCCATCTCAGTGTTATTTACAACCTCATTCTCAGTCTTAATCTCAATACCAATGTTAATTCGATTTTAGTTTAGTCATTCCAGAGTCTTGAATTATTAGGGATATGATAACTTCAGTCCAAATTTGGGCAAGTGACAGACATAGTTATACATATAAAAACGCACCCTTCTCACTCACACTATTAATACATGCCATATTTAAAATAATGGAATGAGGAATATAAAAACTGTCATATATCTTGCAATAAAAAGTCATAGTAACCACTAGCTGTTAAGATCTAATAAGGACAGAAAAGCAAGGATGCACAGATATTAAAATTCTGTCTGATACCGAAAAATCAGTCACTTAGTAAAAAAAAATCAGTAATTACGTCACTGTATGTTAGGACTGATTACCAATAAATTGCTAATCTTAAAATTATTTACTGTTTTGTATCAATTTATCAAAAATAAACATGAATAAAACAATCATTTTAAATGCTGCAAGTGAATTTAGCCATCAAAATTATTTATCTAAATTCTTGGGCTGCCCTCGACTAAGGATTTTTCTGGTCGACTAGTAGTCGTTCATTTGAAGCATTAGTCGACTAATGGCACGTTTATTACAGTTTTTCTGAATTGCTAAAACACTAAACCCCAATCTCTGAACCAAATCCTCTCTAGCTTAAACCAAATTGACGAATAAAGCACTCTTTCTGCTAAACCTTAAACACGTTCAGGCAGTTAGGCTCTATTTGCAAATCTCATGCACTCTTTTTTGCAAAACTCTAAACACATTCTCATTCACTTAAACACTTATCACACTGTGATGCATTTGTGCTGCAAAATGCTAAACACAAGTGGCAAAAGTTAAACTCAACTAAAGCACAGTTGTCATCGTTTACACACAACGATTCAAAATTGTTCACACTTGTTTCTAATGATGTGATCAAACCAACTGTACAAAATATGAGCCAGTTCAGAGTGCACAAGTGGCACAGGAGACTGAATGATGATATGAACAATAGATGGAAACAATCTATAGGTTTAAGGTTTAGAGAGTGTTATCAAGGCTGGATCTGTCAGACCAGAGGGTTTTTTCTCTTTGTCAAAAAAGACAACATTACTTGTGATGTGGACAATGTCCTCAAGTCGGACTCAAGCACAAAGACATGATGCTGAGACTGAATGAATCTCTCACTGACCGTGATTTTACAATTGCACAGCTTATAGTATTTGAGTGTACTGTAACATGCTATTCATTTAGAGTTTTATTTGACCTTTTTGGCCTTTGCAGTTGGACTGCAGTATTTTTGCAGTAACCAAGTGCTGAATATATACAAACATTCAGTATTATTCAATATTCAGCACAATACTATTCTTGCAGTACATACAATATAATCACCTTACTCAGTTGCAATTACTATACTTTTTTACAGAATTGCAAAATTGTTTACTCAAACGCATGTATACATGTTTCACACGGAATACATAACCTGAGAATATTTGTTTTCCATTTGAATTGGTTCATTTGAAAGTAGACATTTTACTCTCTATAGATATACTTCATTTATACACGGAGTTTCGCGCTCAAGTTCACAGAGACCGAGGCGGCAGAAAGCGCATCCTGTTTGCTTTCATTATTTTACAAAAGCGCGTTTTGTTGTTATTGTGAGTGCACAAAAATAAACGTAGAGTCTTTACAGATTTGAAAGATTGATTACTCTTATCTGTATGCCCAAAAATGAGGGAGTATTTTAAGAGCAAGTGATGCACCGGCACCTCCATCTGTCCTGCAGTGAGCGCTACTGTTCATCTTCCATGCTCCGCACAGACACTTCAACAGCGCACATTTCTCTAGGTTAACATTATATTGAGCGGCCATGTAAAGTTGCTAATACATATTTCAGATGATAAAAGATAAATAAATCAATCAATTGATAACTGACATTGTATTGATATAAAATATATCATAGCATGGCAACAGAAAACACCATAAAGGCACCATAAAAGTGGTTCATATGTCGCAGCTTGGCTCTGCTCATCAGGAATAGCGTGGTAGCTTGATATTTCTATTGGTGTTTTGGAATAATATGAGGATGCATAAATAATAACATTGTATTGATATATTTTGCATGGCAACAGAAAACACCATAAAGGCACCATAAATGTGGTTCATATGTCGCAGCTTGGCTCTGCTCATTAGGAACAGCGTGGCAGCTTGATATTTCTATTGGTGGTTTGGAACAATATGAGGATGCATAAATAATAACTAAATTTTCATTTTGGGGTCAACTAGCCCTTTAAGACCTTACTTAAAACCCTTGTCATTGTGTCAAATTAATACTTCTACTGGAACTTTTTTTTGTTTTTTCCCTGAGGGTTCAAGGTTCATATCCCCATATGATCTTACTTTTAATGTTTGTTTAATGTTGAAAACATTACAGGTTGTACATCACATGCACCACACAGCAGCCCTGAATACATCGTTTTGTTCATTCTTTTTTTACCTTAATCTTAGGAGAACGAGGCTGTGAACGTGGGGAGAGAGGAGGAATAAAGGGCTGAGTGGAGACTACAGGCACAGAGGAGGGAGGAGGAGAGGTGAGGAGAGAAGGAGACCTGGGAGGAGATGGGATGTGGTCTGAAGAAGATGGAGGAGGAGGAGAGGGAGTGGAGGGTGGAGAGGCCGGAATAGTTGGTAGAAGAGGCTGGCAGGAGGAGTAAAGAGGAGGATGCAAAGAAGGAATAGGAGATGAAGGATGAGATGGGGGGATTGGGGAGAGATGAGGAGAGGAGGAAGGAGAAGGAGAAGGAGAGTGGGAGGAAGGGATATTTGAGAGAATAGGAGTGGAAGTAACAGAGGAAATCTGAGAGAGGACAGAAGGAGGAAGAGATTGCAGAAATGAGGGAGGTGGAGAAGGATATGACTTATAGTTAGAAGGGAAAGAAGAAGGCAAAGGAGTAGGAATATTGAGAGTCGATGAAGGAGGAGGAGGAAGAGGGATTGGGGAGTTTGGAGGAGACAGAGGAGGTGAAGGAGGAGGAGTGGAGAGAGATAATGGAGGGAGAGGAGAGTCTGAAGGAGAAGAAACAACTGAGGTTTGGAGGACAGAGGAGGAATAGGACACCAAAGGAAGAGATGAAGCAAGAGGAATAGAAGGAGGAGGAGGACATGGAGAAACTTTGGAAGAAGACAGTGGAGAATAGTGAACAGCAGAGGCAGATGATTCAATGTGTGGTGGAGAAAAACTAATGGAAGAGAGAGTAAGGGAGTAATTAGGCATGGGGGAGGTGGAGAATGACAGAGATGGAGTGATGGAGGTGGAGTCAGCCTGGCAAAGAGAAAGACAGAGCTGTTCAACTACAACTTTCACAACTTTGAACTAGATTGTCAAAGTTACACACACGACTAGTGTGACAAAGACTATTAAAGGGGCCATATCATAGTAAACAGGATTTTCCTTGATCTTTTGAAATAGGATTGAGGCAGTCTATATATTTCTGTTCAGAAATCTTTACCACGTAACCATCAGTTTACATATCAACACCTGTTTTTTAAAAAATTTTTTTTTTACAATATTTAGAATGAGACTCTATTAAACACTGTGGCAAAGAGAAATTGAGGGGTAAAATAAGCTCTATCGCCATGGATTGAGGCAGACTATATATTTCTGTTCAGAAATCTTTACCACGTAACCATCAGTTTACATATCAACACCTGTTTTTTGTTGTTGTTTTTTTTACAATATTTAGAATGAGACTCTATTAAACACTGTGGCAAAGAGAAATTGAGGGGTAAAATAAGCTCTATCGCCATGAAAATAAATATAAAATCTGTAATTATTGTTTCCTAATAGTAGACCTTTTTCTCCTGTTCTTTTTTTAAGCAAAATTGTTATAGACACCTTTTCATAAACCTTTCCAAGCTATACTGGACCCTGCTTAAAACCTGCAACCCAAAAGTAACCATTGTTTCTTATATCATTTACAAGTCTGTTCACACCAAGGACAATAACTGTAACAATAACTAAGGTTTCAATAATCATTCTAATTCTGTAAGAATAGGGAAGTCCACACCACAGCTATAACAATAACAGCAGAAGAACAATATAGCTGAAATCATTTTCTTTTTTGTTAAACTCATGAATGATAAAAATACTGACAGCCAATAAGAATCCATCTTTAAAGTGCTTGAGCAGCAGACAACAATAACTGCAGCATATGCTTATAATATAACAGAACGTTATAATCATGGAGTGGGCATACATATGTGGAATTTAAAGGGAAAAAACATGTTTAATATGGCCCCTTTAATTTAGTCAATGAACATGCAAATAATGTTTCGTGTAAAAAATTTTTTGAAAGTTTTCAGAATTAAAAAAATTATTGTTAAACTTAAGGTTATAAGAGTTTTCACACCACCAGACTATCATGCTTTTGTCACACTGCATGTTCTACCTCTTTTTTTGAAACCGTCTCCAAGCCTGATCTGTTGTTTGTTTCATCATCCTCTTCCTTTATATACAACTCAGGAAGTTCCTCCCATTTTATAGCAGCTACTGGACTGTAAATCTCTGTTTTCTCATTCAAAATTACTGACAACAGCTCCTCAGCCTTTTTCTCATAGATATCATGATGTTTATCCAGTATATTTTCTGATTTGTGGCTTGCACTGATGGACAGTGGCTTATCAGGTAATACTTCTCGATTAGCCATGTTTTTTGATCGACTGGCCAATCGGAATTCAAGTTCATCATAGAGTTGATTTTTCAGAAACATCGACATAAGTTCACCATATGGATCAGGTTCGTTTATTAGCCTGGATGGGTCATAGTTTTGTTTCAAGCTTTGCTCCTTTAAATACATATCTTCTAAGAACTTTTTACCATCATGCCCCTTTCTTTCCATTCTTAACAGAGCTTGATTATGGTCTGTAATCCGTTTCACTGGTAAACCGAATGTTTCTGGTACATCTATTGCTGTCAGTTTATCTCTGTAGAGACGTTCATGGGAATAAAGCAAAATATTTGAGGACTCTGAAGTGATTGGTCCTTGGCTAGGAAAAGGGGGGCATTCTGAGGAAAGGTTTATTGATGCGGTGAACCTTCGCACAAGTGGAGCAGGGGACTGGGGGCCAGTGTGGTGTAGATTGCTGGGTAATGGAGGAGGGGTGGGTGGGACTGGACTGCCACAGGAAGATGGGTAAGTGGTGGAGGCACCCAATGTGAGAGACAGCCATTCACTAGTGACTGTTTGAAGGTGTGTCTTAGTGGCAGAATCAAGACACTGCAAATGGGAGGACTCTGTATAGTGCTTGAGCAAAGGAAAAAGAAAGCAGGGAGACTGGTTTATGAACTTATTGGACTTATAGGACAGACTTTGTGGATGTGACGGTCCAAAACCGGTGCTAAAGACTTACCTTATGTGCCCTGTATGTGTGCGTGTCTCCTTGGTGACTGGGGCTCTTGGAAGGAGAGCCCTTGATCCCATCGACATAGGACACTGGGAAAATGCCCTGCTTGTTTGAACCAGGAATCTTTCCTTCATACCAATTCTGATCCACCTTCCTTAGAAGGATCACTCGCTCCCCCTACAACAGCAAAAACATGCATGCATGCATGCTTTAAATATGCAATTCATGGTGGGGTGCGATAGAAAGTGGACGACTGAAAGATGGTAGGGTGTGATATAGGGCTTTACACTTGCCTTTCTAAGAGAAAGCTCCACGTTAGTGTCAGCACTGAAGTTGTATCGTGCTATTGCCTCTCCCATCTCTCGAACTTGAGCCGGAGGAGGAGGCCTGACAGGCTGCCTCCGCTCTGGAGACGCCACCTTCTGAAGGAGAAAATTAGAGAAATAGTGAGAAAGCAAGAGGGAATGTGATTAAGCATGTAGTTCAATAAAATAGGTTATTTAAAATTTACCTCGACATAAGAGATGGGGAAAATCCCAATCCGTCCTCTGTGTTCCCCCTCATACCAGTTACTGTCAATCTGTCTGATGATGTTGACAGCATCACCTTTCTTAAAGGAAATTTCCCTGCAATGTGCAATAAACATGCATATGACCATAAACATTCATTACATATTCAATAAAGGGAACATTTATACCAGTGACGCACCTGAATCTATCTTCTGTATAAGTCACATTTCAATTTTTTCTACTGAAGCAACCAATCTGAGATGAAAATATTCACCAAATACAAACATAATAATATAATATAATATAATATAATATAATATAAAGTGTTGTAGCTTTTAAATCTTTATTTAATAAGAACATTTCTTCCTCAGTTGGCATTGGAAACACTGTTGTTTATTAAATATCTGCAAGTTACAACAATGTGTGGACCCTTTTCTTTTTTCTAATGCATTACCCAATGAATTTGGTGATATGCAAATTTCAGGCTGAAATTCATGAGCCTTGAAATTCTTTAATGGCTTTATTAGCATGGACTTTCATGCAAGCTTACAATTTCATGCAATGACACGGAGCTCAGTGCAGAACTGCAGATGCAGAGACCAATCTGACATAAAGCAAGTTAGTATGCAAGAAGCACAAGAGCAAAAACTGCACAAAGGAAATGCAAAACAAAATGAAAGAAAAAGCTTTGAATAAATGGACAAGAGTAGAATTAAACCCACTTTCACAAACAAAAAGCTGACACAGCCCTTTGCGAATTCAAATTTAGTGAGATGCTGTGATGTTATTCGCATGCGCCAGACAGAGTCTCTCAGATTTCTTTATATATACTCACTTGGCAGACTGAGCTTTAAAATCATAAATAGCCCTGGCAGACTGTTTCTGATGGAGGAGAGAAGACAATATAAGATAGGTAATCTGCTTAGAGGATACCTACGAGGCAAGCAAAAAGACCATCAGCTATCCAACATATGCACAGTCAAGCCATATACAGACCATAACCAAAATGAAGGTTACAGGGTCATGGGATTTATGGCATAGCGCAATAAGGGTTCAGGATTTAAGATCGCCATATACTTATTCACTAATCAGTGATGTTTGCCCTGCGGGTTTCAAAACATTGTTCTAATTAAATGAAAACTAGTTCATGTAAAAATAGATATGAGTAAAGCAGCATTTCTACCTCTCTTTCTGGCGTGGGTCTTCTGATTTGTGGTGTGAGACGTCCTGTATCAGAGCCCTGATCTGTAGAAACAGAGAAAACGTCAACAGAAAGAAAACTATTGAGTTCATAGTGGCACCACATGCATTCCACTGGTGTCAAAAGGAAATGAGACTACTTAAAAATTATACAATTATTTATTTCAAATTTAGGGTCAAACAAAAAAATAAGGGATGATCTGGATATACACAATATGACATAAAATGGCATGCACTTGACCTAAAAAATGGCCTAAATATTAGTCATCATAGAACCATAGAAAAAATACATACAAAATACAGTACATACAAAGAAAGCAAATATGTGTCTTTACAACAGTATTTCATACATCAGCAAAAAAAACAACAACAATGGCAAGGGCACAAAATTAAAAGGGAAAATTAAGCTCAGTAAAACACATCATGCATATACTGGACAGACATTTATTGCCCCATGAACTGCTAATACTTCTTTTCCACTTGTACCATTATAAATAAACAGAATGAAATACAATCTTCCATGTATTCATAATCAGAGCTTTTGTGTTAGCATTAAAGCTAACTATAAGCGAATGTACTCTAAAAATAACAAAAACATTGAAAACTGATTTTTGTCCAATCAAATACTTTCTAGAATGTCCCAAAAAAAACGAGTTGACTCCTTCTTTATTTACGGTTCAAACTTTCTGTTTCAATATATGAACACAGGAAGTCAAAGGACTCTGCTTCAAAAATAAAAAGTCAGTCAATCTAAATATACTATATTGTATAATTACATAAATAGTAAGATATTCCAAATACCTAATTGGACACTTGGTGCAATGATAATAAAGCATTCTGTTTTGGTGAAAAAGAAGTAAAAGCACTTGCATGTTTTCGGTAGGGAATGCTTGAGGTAATGACGTGAGGATTTAATAATGATTCGAAACAAAAGGAAAACTCTTGAGAACTAGCTGCACCTGAGTAGCAGTGCACATTAGCATTAGCATTATGCTGGTTGTTGTTGGAGGCGTCTGTATGGTCGTGTTGCTGCTGGTAGGAGGCACATTGGTGGGCTCCATGGTAAGGCTGGTGGACATGGAGCAAGGAGGGGGAGCCGGACCCTCTCTGAGCCCGCAAGGAGGAGCTACGCTTGGGCACGTCTGGTAGCAACTCCTCCAATAACCGCCGCAATATGCTATCATCTGGCATCCTTGCTGGTCCCTGCCCCCTTTCCGCCCTTATGTGGTCATAAATGTCCTGCAAAGCGGCATCTAAAGCCTCATAAATTGCGGTTTTGGATTTCGGCCGACCGCTTCTGCAGTGTCGCCGTTGGGTTGGCGGGGAGCCTCGTTTCCGGCGGAAAGGCACAGGGCTGACCAGGAAGGCCAGTTTGGAAAGGCCTGACTCACTGGGTGACTGTTGTGCTAGTGGAGATGTAGCGGCAGGGTGGGACTCCTGCCGAGCCCTTTCCTGTTGTCGCTCGTGTTTTAGCATGGTGGTGAATCGTGTATAGGATGCCGGGCAGCGACCCTTACAGGAGCTGATGAGGTGGCGGTGTTGGTAACCTTGACTCTGACCCACACTCTGGTGTAGGTGATGGTGGCGGTGGTAACGGTGTCCATGATGATGGTGACCATGATGGTGATGTCGCCCAGAACCAAAGAAGCTTTCCGATGAGGTAAGTGAGCAATGATCCAGGTCGCTCTCGCTACACGGTGAAGACCCTTCTATGTGGATGTCACTCATTTCGGAGGCACAGGCGTCCTGCTCACTGTCTGAGTAGTCTTGATGCTGCCTCTGGTTCTTCCCATGAATTGGCACCAGGCTACTGCTGTCTGGTCCCAGTCTTGGCTGTCCCTCAGGGGGACTTCGAGCCCTTTCTGGAGGATCTTCCTCCTCCAAAAGTGATTCCACAGAAAAGCGTCGTTTGGGACAGCTGCTGGCCCTCGAGGACCCTGGTGTGGTGGTGCCTGATGGGGCATTTTCGTCACCAAGGTCTGGCATGGACTTGGATTTCTGGATGAGCTGTTCATATTCCGATATACGGTTTGGGACCATGTGTCGTGGTACCTCATTACCGAAAGGTGACCAACCATGGATGTTGTGCCTCTGTTGTTGTTGTAGCCGTTCCAGCTCAAGGATTCGTGCACGTACAGAACGAATCATCTCTGAGGGCAATAGCTGCTCTCGGTCTATGTGGTGCATTTTCTTGTAGAGCTGAAGGAAACCCGGAGCATCGTGTGGCATCTTACGCCGGTGATGTCGGCGCCCCCTGGGAGATGAGGTAAGACTTTTTACTTGAGGCTTCTGTGGAGCGTCTTCATCAAGCAATGAACCTGCACTTTCAGAGCGAGTGGTAGTCATAGAAGCAGACGCTCTCCCGTCATTATTAGCACCATGTCCGTCAGACAACAAATCATCACAGCTGCGTGATTTGAGCCGTGGTGATGAAGGAGTGATGACAGATTCATCGTCAACGCTACTCCAAGTCTCCGCAGCTTCGTGTCGGCCTGTCTGCCAACCGTTCTTGAAGCAGATGGAGCGCTTGGAGCCACGCCAGGTTGGTGTGGAGATAGTGAGGGAGTCTGAGGAGAGACGAGAGGAAAGGCGCTCCATACCTGGAGAGCTCATACAGGAGGAGAGTGACTCACTAGCGTCTCCAGCTGTGAATTAAAATAACATCCAATGCAGCATGACAAAGAGGAGACAAGAAAGCTGGTTAGTGAGCTCAGCTGACAGAAAATGACAAAGCGAGAGAAAACATATCAGTAAAAGTGACAGTTAGTGAGAATGTGTCAGTATAGTTAAGATAGACAGAGGAGAATATGCAGTCTCATGCAGTTACGATCTTCTACAAAAAATTTTACACAGGTATAACCACAAATGTGATGATCTAATGATAGAACAAGAGAAGTGCGGTCTTTACGGTTTCTGGCACAAATCAAACTAAACATACAGGTAGAATGGTAACAGAACAAATCCATCAAACAGTTCCTCTGCACAAAATAATGGAGTGCTAATGTAATATGTCATTAGACAATAATGCATAATCTAAATGTCTTCAACAAGATTTGATCAGTCTAGCACCTTCTGTTCGAGTTTGAGTGTGTCTGAAATTACCTTTGGGTCTGGATGGTGAGGAAGGCGAGGAACGTATGGTGGGCTTCTTCAGTGTCTGTGCTTTATTGGAGTCCAGTGGGCGGGAAAATACTTGACTGGCATTCTGCTCACTTCCTGTGTTGGCTTGAGTGACAGATGGTTCCGACTTTCGCCTTTTCCTGTAGTCACTTGCAGAACTAAGAATCCCCAAAAATCCCAGATCAATAATGAAATAAAATAACCAAAGTAAAACATTATTAATGACTTTAAAGTTTTATAGAATTACTGAATACTTTGATGGAACATTTTATAAAACATTTAAAATACATAATTAAGGGACTAGCTGTGTAATTTTATAATACAAATGACTAAGCTATTTATGTCATTTTTGAAAATGGAAACATCACCCAAAATGATTCAGCTAGTGGACAATAAACGCTTTTACTTATATTGACAATGACACTCTGAATACAGGATCTTCTACCCATTAAATAGTCCTAAATATGGGTTCCCATATCCTGTACTCTATAGATTCCATATGAACAGGAAGTGTTTTTGAGCTAGAAATTATCTGTAGGGGGTACGAACAATTAATACTCAAATACACACAACAGTATGGGATGTCAAATTCATATATATATACACACAGCAAAAAAATAAACAGTGGCAGAGCTTTTAAGACCTGAGTAAATTAAATTAGACTGAGGATGCTCAGGTTCTGTCCTCCAATGGATATCCAACAGGCATCTCTCTGAGAAATTAAAGAGCCTGAGTGAGAAAAGCTGATATAAGAATGAAAGGGAAGCTTACCTTGAAGTCCCGTCACGTCGTTCGGAAGGCGAGAGATAGAGGGATGACTGAAAGAGAGCAGACAACAAAAGAGAAGAGTGAGATCCATGGGAACAAAGAAGTGTAACACTCCCGTGCTGCGCTACAATCAAACCCCCCCAACCCCCCGCATGCTCAAAGACAGCCGTGACCGACGAGGGTTCCACATCTCTCAATCCCACCTTGAAGGACTATGAAAATTAACTTTGACCTCCTGTAAGAATAAAAAAGTGCCAGGGCCCCACAGTAAGCGGAGCCCAACAAAAGCCAGAGAACAAAACAGTACAGATCCAGAAAGGCTGCACGTGGCACCAGGTCACAAGAAGCCCTGTCTATTATGTTGTCCAGGATCGCCACGCCTCCTTTCCTTTGACACAGCCTGGGGTGAATTTGAACAAATCTGAGCACAATACAGCAGTCTCTGGTGTTCATTCTGGCTTATCCATGCGACTTGGATCAGAGAAAAGAAAGGACAACACTTACTGACAACACAGCATTTTTAACACACCGATGCTGATCCTAGGTCAAATAAGAAGATAAATAAAAAGCCAATTCACAGGCACAGGAGAGAATGCATTTCAGTAGTACTTGTGAGCATGTGACTCTTCTCAAACAACATATTTTAAAATAACAAACCTATAAAAAACTCACAACACAAACATGCACATAAACACATTCATTCATCAGAGGAAAACTGTAAGAGAAAAACCCCCTGAAAATTCTATCATCATATACGTATCCTCATGTCCTTCCAAACCTGTATGATTTTCTTTTTTATGTGGAACATAAATTAGTATATTCTAAGAAATGTCTCAATGTCTATACAATGGAAGTCAAACCGAAGTCGAACCAGTGTTTAACAGCATGTTTCAAAATATCTTCTTTTGTGTTTTGCTAGAAAGATCAAGTCATACAGGTTTGGAACGACATGAGGGTGAGCCAGGGGCGTAGATGACGCGGGGGACGTGTCCCCCCCACTTTTAATATCACGTAAATTCGTCCCCCGCACTTCGGGCAAGTGTGTTCTGTGTGCATTGAATTTATTTAATACACGAGTTTCACAATTTGAGTTGAATTACTGAAATAAATGAACTTTTCCACGACATTCTAATTTATTGAGATGCACCGGTATAACATTTCTGTCCCCCTCACTTCTGAAATGATGGCTACGCCCCTGGGGTGAGCAAATGATGACAGAATTAGCATTTTTGGATGAACTATCCCTTTAAAATTAAAAACATAAATAGCAGAGGAAGTAAATCTGACAGCAAAATAAAATATACAAAAGAACAATCTGATTTAAAAAAAAGCAGTTATGAAAAAGCATTGGTGGGTGTTCATTATTTAGCTATATTTTTCAGTAGTGTCATTGCAGGAAAGCTCAAATAAAGTGACTTTTATTATGTCAACTAATTGTTTCACATTTAGTTTTGTATTTGTTTTATTAAAAAGAGAGTTTGTTTAGTTTACATTAAAATGTACATATGCAGCGTAGATTTTATCTTGAACATTTTAACTCACAGATTTCTAGTAAAGATACCCTAGTAAAAAAGTAATATATTTAAAATACATTTATTTCATTCTAAGTATAGTTCAAATCTATTAACATATTTACTGACAGATAACTCGAGACTTACTGATATAAAAATGATCATTAAACTTTACTTGGCATACTACTTGTGCACAATGCACTTTTCTTAATAGTAAGTCTAAAATATGTTTTAATGTCACTTTTGATGAGGATTGTATGATCTTTGAATAATATCGGACTTTAAAATGCAAAATATTTAAAGTATACTTGAAGTATACTTGTAATAGTTCCACTTTAGCACAGTAAAATTTACTAAGTATATATTTAATTGTACTTCAGCACTACTTCTACATAATTGAAATGCATTAAGTACAAAATTAGTTGTTCCAATTTAGCAGAGTTTAAGTATACCAGTTTAGTATACTAATTTTATTAAGTACATAAATATGAAAATGCATTTGTAGTATACTTAGCATGAAATAAATGTATTTCTAATACATTTAAGTATATTTATTTTTCACTAGGGTAACAACTACAAAAAACAGAAACACTAATAGTATTTTCTTGTCACTGAAAAAAAATTGGTGTAGAAACAATTTTCACTCAACAGAGTACAATGTACTCTAATAAACTAAAAAAAAAACATTTTTTACAGTATATGGGTCAGTTTTTTGCATTTGCTGTCTGTTAAATAAATGATGGGGCAGGAGAAAAAGCAATAGCAAAAGAGAAAGATGGAGATATAGAGCAAACGCACAGCAAAGGAAAGACGGATTGATGGACAGGAAGGTAGATTTACCTGTGCCACAGCATGTGTGGAGTAGTCAGGATTATAATCCAACCTCTTTTTAGGAGGCTGGATGCCCCACCACCCGAACAAACGAACAGCACAGAGGTGAAGAGGTGAAGATGAGGTGGAGAAGCAGGTGCATCATGGTAAAAAGACACATGTGGAGAGAGTGACAACGTTAGGGCATGGAGAAACAGAGATCACACAAAACACACACAGTGTACAAACAAACAAAGGGTGAATACAGTGAACCTTGGTGTGTTGAAAGTAAGTGCCCACACATGCTTCACCTACTTCATACACACACTGCTGCTTGTGTGTACATATAATACACACAATGATGAAACTACATAAAGGTTTCACACAAATTTTGCTTGTTTACACATGGTAGCAGCAAACTCAATCAGTAGACAAGCCAGGAAGTGTGTGTTTATAAAAGCTGGAGGAACTGTGCATAAATATCTCATTTATGAACATACAGTGGCCTACAAAATATAGAATTTTTTATGAATTTTATTGCATTAGATAAAATAAAATAAGAATTTCTGACTTTGGAACAAATTACACTCCTCTTAGTCACCCAATATCATTTTAGGGGATATTGGCAACATTGAAAAGTCTGGGGTCAATATGATTTTTTTTATACGTTAATATGGCGCACAATGCTAATTGCTAATAATACAATGTTAAATGCAAAAGGAAGCAGGAAATGATGAGAATCTTGTGAGAAGTTATCAGCATTGATAGTTTTTCTATCTATATTAACAATTTACTGCCTTTTCATGAATCACTTACACTTTGTTTGGGGTCAGTAAGGTTTAGAAAAGTAATAATAATAATAATAATAATAAGCAGAACAGCAAATTGCAGGATGAGCAAACACCAGCAAAGGAAGCATGGATGGATGGACAGGAAGGTAGATTTACCTGTGCCACAGCATGTGTGGAGTAGTCAGGATTATAATCCAACCTCTTTTTAGGAGGCTGGATGCCCCACCACCCGAACAAACGAACAGCACAGAGGTGAAGAGGTGAAGATGAGGTGGAGAAGCAGGTGCATCATGGTAAAAAGACACATGTGGAGAGAGTGACAACGTTAGGGCATGGAGAAACAGAGATCACACAAAACACACACAGTGTACAAACAAACAAAGGGTGAATACTAGTGAATCTTAGTGTGTTGAGAGTAATCGTCTACACAAGTGCCCACACATGCTTCACCTACCTTACACACACTGCCACTGTTTAGAAAAGTAATAATAATAATAATAATAATACTTTCATTAGTGACACTAAAGACATTCATATTGTTACAAAAGTTTATTATTTCAAATAAATGCTGTTCTTTTGAACTTTCTATTCATTAAAGAGTCATGCGACACTGAAGACTGGAGTAATTGCTGCTGAAAATTCAGCTTTGCCATCACAGAAATAAATTACATTATAAAATGTATTAAAATAGCAAACATTTAAATTGTAATAATATTACACACAATAAAAAAATGATATTACTGTTTTTACTGTATTTCTGATCAAATAAATGTAGCTTTGGTGAGCATAAGTGACTTGATGAGTGTTCACAACATAAATCTCCATAGATATTGACGCTGATGCATCTCCATCAAAATTAATACTTCAAAATCATACATAATAAATACATAATAATTATAATAGCACTCATACATTTGAGTGAATTTTTAAGTGAACGTCCCAGGTTACGTATGTAACCATGGTTCCCCGAGGGAACGAGACGCTGCGTCGGAAAATGCTAGGGGAACGCCTTCAGCGATACCAAGCTCTGAATCATATGTGTAATCAGTCGAACGATGGGCGAGACGTCAGCTAGCGTTTTCCGACGCAGCTCGAGTTCCCGAAGGGGAACTATTATTTTACCTTTGGTCACCCAATCATTAATATTTGGTTACATTCTAGTAGTAGAATACATGCTGAACTAATTTGGCAACCAGAAAGTTGTTTTTTTACAATTTTGTACAGTTTATCTATTCTTTTAGTATTTAGAACTTCTTGATGTGAAAATGTTCAGCTTGAAAGTGCAATGTTTATATGTTGGATGCATGGATTAAGTGTCCAAATCCTTTTTAGGGCCACTGTATTATCCAAAGTCTTTTAATTTTTTTATTAAAAAAAAGAGTTAAACTTGACTTGATAGTGTTTTCTGCACAGGTTCTGCAGCTGTAAGAGCTTTAAGCTTGTAAGAACAGGTGTGTGATACTGCAAACAGAGCCAAAGCGGAAACGCAGTGTTACACACTCAAAGTTAAAACTTTTTAAAAACCAATGACATTCTTCTAAAGACAACGTTGTACCCCATAAATAGAGCACAAGTACAGATAATGCTGCTCTTTTGGTGAGAGTTTTGAAAACAGAGCATGATTATTAATCATGCCTTGGGATTTAACATCAGACATATCATACGTGTCTGATGCCTCACCCGCTGCTTCTAGCATTGTTATTGTGGTGATGTTAAATGTCTTTTTTATGTTTTCAGTGTGCAAATAACACCAAGTTCTGAACAAGTCAGAACTTGAATTTTAAAAACCACACACACACACACACAAACACACACACACACACACACACACACACACACACACACACACAGCTTGTCATTACACAACAGCATGTGTGTACCGGACAAGGAGATTACAGCCTACAGCATGCCAACCTGCCGCACCCTCACTCAACTTACCGGCCGTCCAAACTCCAACTCGGAAAAGAATTTAAACCAAGGCTCATTCTCTAAATCTATGTCATCTGGGTTTAAATCAAACATCTGGAGCAAGAAGCAACATAGAAAAAGAGAGGTAAGGGAAAGAGGAAAAACAATGAAAGGAAAAGAGAGATGAAAATTAGGGTTAGGAGGACCAAAATATGCTGCAAGGACTGGTGAGCAAAGAACAGAGGAGGAGGATGTTGTGGGTCATCAACACTCTCTCTCTCTCACACACACAAAATATGTAATGACAAATCATAACAATTAATAAGACTTAAAAAGAGATTTTGAAAAATGTTTGTAACCAAACAGTTTCAGGTCCCATTGACCTCCAAGGTATGGACTAAAAATACACTGGAAATCAATGGGAACTTAAACTGATTGGTTACCACATTTCTTCCAAATATTTTGTTTTCTATGCAAGAAAGACGATATTTTGAAGAATGTTGTTAACCAAACAGTTTTGGTACCCATTGACTTGGATGAGAACTGAAAGCTGTTTGATTATCAACATTCTTTAAAATATCTTCTTTTGTGTTCAGCAGAAGAAAGAAAGTCATACAGGCTTGAAATGACATGAGGGTGAGTAGAAGTTTCATTTTTGTGTGGACTATCCCTTTGATATGACTGTGCCTCTCAGTACTGTCCAAAAGGGGGAGACATTGTGCTTCTTCCCCTCTTCTCTTATCAATATCTTTACTGTCATTTTTGATTAATTTAACTGCTTGCTGAATAAAAGTACTAATTTATAAAAAAAAAAAAATCTTACTGACCCATACTTTTGAATGGTTCTGTGTACATACAACAAAGAGAGGAGCACAACAATTGTCAACATAAAGCATACAGAAACTAAAGGAAAAGTTTACCAAAAAATGTTTGCTGTAAATGATTAATTATATAAATAAATATTTATTTCATGGATGAAACATCGTTTTGAGGTCAAATGATAGCTTTGTCTGAGAAACAGACCACACTTTGTCATTATTTACTGAAAATATGGCACCGCAGATATGAATGACATCAATGAGAAACATGTGAGAACCAGTAACATTGTGTAAACCACAGTAAAAACCTGGTGTGATGCGTCATATTTGAATGTACGTGTTTGTGTTCCACAAACAAAAAAGAAAATCATACAGGTCTGGAACAACATGAGGGTGAGTAAATAGTTTTTGGTGAGCTACTTCTTCAAAACTTTTTACAGTTTCTGGGACACAAATTTGGCTTTACATAGAGCTAAACATTTTCAAAAGGCAAGTCTCTGCTGACAGAGCAATTTAATCCAGGACAATGTCTAAGCCTGACCCTGTATGTTTGATTTTGTGATTAAACAGGAACAGCACTGAATTACTCAAGAGAACACAACAGGATTTCTTTAGACCTTAGCAACCTTGGGTCCATGTTATGTGAGGATTTTTACACCAGTTTAAACGAAATGTATGAATAATAATCACTTAGATACAATGATTTAATTAAATAAGATTACTCACAGGCCTTTCTTGCTCAAGGATGGAGGATTTGCCAGGCTCATATTCAAAGATGCTCCGTGGTTCCGCTCGGTATTTACGTGTGTCCACTTTTCGATCTGGAGGATCCCACTCATTTCTGTAGATGAGAATAAGAATAAGAACCAATCAAAGTTGTTTTTAACCAATCAGATGTTTTAAAACAGAAGCCTGTACACTGAAAAATATGTGGCGCAGCAGGATTTACTTTTAAACAATTTTCAACCAGAAATTTCACAAACAATTAGAGAGAAATGGCAATTAACCCCTTGAATTAAACGTGCACTTTTGAAGTATAGTATTTTCTTGCAAAATGCACTAATAATCATTGTTCTTTTTACAGTGCAGCTCATGAGGTCAGGTGTCTTACTGGTCATGCGAGAACTCTTTCTCTCTGTCCATGTCTCGTGAGCGGAGCTGGAGGAGAGAGGGCATCGGAGGGGGTGGAGGGGGCACGGGAGATGGCGAGAGCTCCCGGTGGGCGGCACCGTCTGGCGTGTCTGAGGTATTTCTAGAGAGAGGCCGGTAAGTGTGCGTTCGAGGGGGCGGGTGGGCATGGACAGGAGGGTAATTTTCTAAAACAGAAGCACAAATATCAGAGTAATATAATAGATCAATAAAACAAATGTACAGCTGCTATACATATTTGGACATTACAGCAAAATATAAACATATGATTGTACACTACCATTTAAAAGTTTGGGATTGGTAAGTTTTTCATAGTTTTGAATCTCATACTCATCAAGTCTGCATTTATATAAAAAAAATAGTAACAAAGTAATACAGTAAGAAATAAAATTGCTCTTTTAAAGCAAACATCACAAAATATGTGTTTTTTTTATTTATAAATGTACAATATAGAATGTAATGCAAAAATATAAAATTATACTGCTGTTCAGAAGTTTGGGATCAGTAAGATTTGTAATTTTTGTTAAATAATTTTCTTATACTCATCAAGGCTATATCTATTTGATCAAAAATACAGAAAAAAATGTAATTTTGTGAAATATTATTGAAATTTAAAATAACAGTTTTCTATTTTAATATACTTTAAAATATAATTTATTCCTGTGAAGCAATGCTGAATTTTCAGCATCATTACTCCTGTCTTCAGTGTCACAGGATCCTTCAGAAATCATTGTAATATGCTGATTTATTATCAATGTTTGAAACAGTTGCGCTACTTAATATTTTTTGGGACCTGTGATACTTTTTCAGGATTCTTTGATAAATAAAAAGTTAAAAAGAACAATTTTTATTCAAAATAGAAATGTGTTGTGTTACAATATACACTCCTACTCAAAAGTTCGGGGTCAGTCAATTTTTTCTTTCTTTTAAAAAAAAAATAAATTAATACTTTTATTCAACAAGGATGTGTTAAATGGATAAAAAGTGATAGTAAAGACTTATATGGTTAGACAAGATTTCTAGTTGCAATAAATGCTGTTCTTTTTAACTTTTTATTAATCAAAGAATCAAAGATAAAAGTATCACAGGTTCCAAAAAAATATTAAACAGCACAATAGTTTCAACACTGGTAATAAATAATAAATCAGCATATTAGAATTTCTGAAGGATCATGTGACACTGAAGACTGATGAAAACATTGTACATTGTACATAGTACATATACAGTATATATATATATATATATATATCATAATATAATTTACTATCTATATC